GGTCCAATTACGGTTTCATCGATCGTGTATATCTAAAGCACAAGGATTCCATTTCAACAGAAGGGAGTGAAAATCAATCCACGGATGCACTCTCGCTCATTATCAAGAGCGTACAACCCCCACCCATCGGGAATAAGGATGCCAAGAATGAGGGGCACATCCGAAAGCTCCTATCTTACAAAGTAGAGCAATATTTCTATGCCCATCTATCTAGCCAGTTACCCGAAGAAGCGAAGGTAGCCACCTACTACTCTCCAGTCGACCAGCAAGGTGTTGAACAGCCAGTCCAGTTGGTGATAGAAGACCTCTCAGCTTCCTTCCCGAACCCTGCGCACAGAAACATGAACTCGGAGGACACCAAAGTCGTACTCAAGTGGCTTGCCAACTTGCATGGAACCTTTTGGGGGTTTCATCGTCGTCCGGAGGTACAAGAATCACTCGTTTCTCCACCCCTGGGATATGAAGGAAATCAAGTTTCGGGTGTATGGGGTCAAGGAACCTACTGGTATTTGGACACCCGACAAGAAGAGCTCCGGAATACCGACCAGGACGAATATGGTTGGTTACTGAAATGGGCGAACAAAGTGAGGCTAGGGCATTTCTTTCCTTCTGATGGGCATTTCTTTCCTTCTGATGAATCTTAGTGGGGTACTAATTTGATTGATGTTTGTAGGTGGCAGCGACTATGAAACAGGAAGAAGAGAGATGGGGGACCCTTATTCACGGGGACGTCAAAGGAGCCAACATTGTCTTCTCAGCAGGATCAGGTCAATCACGAAGCTGTGCCCTCTACGATTTTCAATACACCGGAATCGGCTTAGTGACCCGCGATATTGTGGTTCTCTTTGCGAAGAGCGTTCAAGCAGAGTTAATTCAAGGTATTGAACAGGAAAAAGAATTGCTACATGTGTATCATTCTGAGCTTCTTCGAAAAATTGCAAGCCGGCGGAATGATGGCCAAGCAACAGGCAACTCGCCTAATGACGAATTTGGGGAATATAAATTCGAAACACTTTGGCGACATTGGGAGTTGGCCATCGTGGATTGGTGTCGTTTTATGGCTGGTTGGGGATTTTGGGGGAATGACGGATGGGTCAAAGGTCGTGCTAGGGAGATAGTATCGCGGTGGGACGAACACACGTTCAATAGTTGAGATAAGAAAACACAATCCACGATGATCCGAGCAAGTAGAAAATAGCTGAATGGATCGAATGTGATTGTTTTTGCTGCTATATTCCTTTGTTCTCTTCGTCTTTGGGGCGAATCAAAATTTCTCAGAGGGACTACCATTTTTGGTGTGGCAGCCTTTTTGGGACCCGACGTCACTAGCAGCCGGAAGTCACTGAACCCCAAAGCATTGAGCAGACGACCCTTAGACCCCTACTCTTCGTTCTGGATTCTCCGAAGAACATTGACGAGCAATAAAAAGTCTCTGGATCGACCATCGCCTACGAATAACCATCGCCCACCATGTCCTCGCCGGATGCAAATCAGTACTCCTTCCTCGCGCAGATGGATTTCGACCCGAAACCCGTCCTTGACGTTGATGGCTATCTCAAGCCCCATCTTCCTGCCATTGCTACTCGCTACCGCTACCTGCAAGACTGGAAGCACAAGATCGACCAGACCGAGGGTGGCCTCGAGAAATTTACGAGGGGCTATGAACGCTTTGGCCTAAATGTCGGACCCAAAAATGAGGTTATATACAGAGAATGGGCACCAAATGCTGTGAATGCGAGCCTGATTGGCGAATTCAGTACGTTGCTTGTGTTGTTTTTGCCTTTTGCACCTGCCCACCACCATGACTTACATCGCACCTCAAAAATCTAGACAATTGGTCAAGGGACTCTCACCCGATGACGAAAGATGCATACGGAGTTTGGGAGATCATAATACCTCCCGACGCTAGCGGGAATGTGGCTATTCCACACGATTCGAAAAT